TCACTTTTCTCTTGAACTCTGCTTACTCTTCTCTTTAATCTATCTTTTTTCTTCAGTATTGGGGATTGAACTCTGGCCTTGTGCTTGCAAGTGATCTGCCACTTGAGTCACACCCCTGATTCTTTCACTTTTAGTTTTTTTTCTGGTAGGGTTTTGTGCGAACTTTGCCCAGCTGGCTTCAAAATGGTCTTCCTACCTCCACCTCCCATGTAGCTGGGACCAGAGGCTTGTGCTACCCACACTTGGCTCATTTGGGGATAAAGTCACTAACTTTTCCCCAGCTAAGCCTAGAATCACAATCCTCTTGTCTTCCTTTCCCCAGTAGCTGGGATTATAGACCACCATGCCTGTCTTTTTTTTTTTTTTTAAACTTTTTGGTTTCTAAAAGTTCTACTTGGTTCCTTTTCAGATATATCTGGTCATTCTTCATGATCTCTTGTTGCTTGCTCATTTTTGTGAATCTGTAGCTCTTTGTAGACTGCATCTGGCAATCTCAGTATCTGATATTCTAAGGGGTCTAAGGTCATTGCTTGTTTTTCCTGTTGTCTCTCCTTCATGTTGGCATATTGCTTCCTGTGCTTGGTGACCATTGATTATGAGCTCCTATTTGAGTTATCTTTGTGGGAATCTTGGCAGTCTAACTTGGAGATGCTTTCCTTCTGAGAGCACTTGTATCCTTTTTAGCTAAGAGCCAGGGAGTTTAACTGGGACCACTTTTCGATTCTGGCGTAGGCTTCACTGTCCTGATCCCATTACTGTTCTTGGCACTACTACTTGTAGCTCTTCTTGAATGCCAGGTTTCATTTCTAGCTTGAGGTTTGTTGCTTTTGAGGGGAGAGGGTGGCTTTAAATGTTCTCCTGTTTCTAGGAGCTCAGCAAAACATCAAGAGTATTTTTAAAAAAAAAAAAAATCTGTGATCCACTTTTCTGCCTTGATAGACTTCTTCAGTATCTGGTTCACTATAATTGATGACATCAAAAGACCTTTATTTTAATATTTAATTCTAGTAGTTTACTTACTTTACTTTGTGTTAGGAATAATTCTGTTATATTGAACGTAGGATTTCATGGTGATACCAGGTTTTCTGTTAAAGCAGATTTACGTTTAAGTTAAAAGTTGAGTTATTCTCAAGGAAAATATAAAGAAAATAATAGCATAGGCAGCAAATAGGTTACACAGTGTATCTTCTGGACCCATAAAGACCTAACTGAGATAAACCTGTAACGATCAAGCAGTATTAAAACTGCTTTCAGAGATAGGGGCCTAGTGCTTACAGAGAAGAGATACAAAAATAAACTTGGTGTAGTGGAAAGATCAGTAAAATGCTTCCTGGAATTGAGAATTAAGGACTGGTAGGCATTAGGTATTTGCAGAATAAAGTTTGTTTAGAAATGACAAGCAGTTGGGTGTAGCTGGTGTCTAGGTTGTGTGTCATGGAGTGACTGGAGATAGAAGTAGGAATAGTATGACACAATGTCTTGTATGCTTACAGTAGAAGATTGGACTTCATTCATTGATGAGTAGTAAAATGATAGCATCAGAGTTTTAGAAGATGCTGAGATTGAAGGCAAGCCACCACTTAGGATATTGCTTGTATTAGATCAGGAGAAAAGATGAAAGTGTAACTAAGGAAGTGGCACTGGGCACGAAGAGGTATATGTGTATTAGATTTGGATTTCTTAGGAAAGTAGAAGTGACAGCATGTAGTGGTGAGTTGGATAGAAATGTTGAAGGAGACTGGAATCTAGGCTGACTCACCATATTTTTGGTTTGGGTAACCATGTGGCATGTAAAGCAATTAACTGGTAAATAGTATACAGAAAGAGGAAAGAACTTGGTTGCATTTGTTTTTTTAAGGAAAAAGATAAGCTTGCTTTTGAACATCCTGAATCTGAGGGGCTTGTGAGACATCTTGGTTAAGATCTAGCAGCAATTGACACAGAAGGTCTAGAAGTTAAGAGATTGGACCCAGCCTAGAGAGTTTTGGGAGTCTTCAGCATTTGGAAGTTTGAAAGCTATTGTTTCCTACAGTACCGTACAAGATAATTTTAAATGGTACGTGAATAAACACTTGAAAAATTTTAATTGTTAGGAATTTACTTTTATGTGTATGAAAAATATAACTTGTATATCAAACCTGTGACATCATGGACATACATCACTTAGGCCAAGTGAGCTCAATGAAAGGGAAAGATGAAGAAAAATACATGTGATATATGGAAATGGCACAAATCATGGTGAAGCTATGAAAACGGTGAAAGTTCAGAAAGTGCTGTTTTAAGCCATGGGTGTGGTGGATAAGGTCACCCAAGGAGAGAGTAAGAGTGAGAAGAAAAGAGAGTTGACATTTGGGTGGCGGGGAATGGAGAAGAAGAGCCCATGAAGGAGACTGAGGAAGAGCAGCCAGACGAATAGGCGGAGAACCAGAAGATGATCTCTGGAGTCCAAGTGAAGAGTTCTGAGAAGGAGGAAGTGGTCCACAGTGTCAAGTAAGTTGTAAGCTGAAAAGTGCTCTTTGGATTTAGCAATTAAGGTAGACCGTTTAGTTGGAAGCATCCAAACAGTAGGTTTTCAAAAACTATTCACCTAATATCAATGGTAATAATAGCTGGTATTTCTAGCATTTCTCATATGCTGTTACTCTTCAAAGCGCTACATGTATTAATTGATTAACCAGGTAGGTGGTGTTATCCTCACTTGCTATGTGAGACAACCGAAGCACAGAGAAGTTAAGTAACTTGCCCAAGATCACATATCCAGAAAATGGGAGAGTCAGGGTTCAAGCCCAGGCAGTCTGGCCCCAGAGTCATGCTCTTAACCATTTTGCCACATTGCCTCTCTAGTTAAAACAAATAGATAAATTTTTAAAAATGACACCAGTGTTGTAATTACAGTACAATTGTTGCTGGGTGCGATATCAAGAGATCTGCTGGGCTTTAATGACCAGCACCTTGTCATGGTGGCTGTCTGCCAATTGTATTGTAATCAACACCACGGTGGTGATGTGTGGGCTGTGACAGTTCTTGGCTCTTTCTGTATTTATGTACAAAAACCTGTGTAAGAAAAGTGAATTTAAAAGTATATTTCTCAGGATAACGCATATATCATGTGCCTTACTTTGGGTATTATGGTATGTTATTTTTTCTGGCTGTATTTTCACTTTTGGAGTTAAATTGTTTAGACTCTAGAAATATTGTTCATACAGAACAGGTGAACTTCTACACATTACAGATAACAAGTCTATTATAGATGGTCATTAATGACCTTATTAAAAGCAGTTTCCCTTCAATGGTAGAAATGGAAACCAAATTGTAGGAAACCAAAAGTGAGAATGGAGGATTTGAATGGCAGGAAAAGGAAGAAAAATTCTTGATGAAGTTGAATGACTGTGGGAGGAGACAGGGAAGGTGAAAGCTGTAATGACTCTTGATGAGGTCAGAGAGGAGTTGATATAACTGAAGGGTTTAAAAATTGATTTAGGCATAGTTAGTGTTCTGAGGAATGGCCCTGAGAAGAAGAGTCTGGGTAGTTGGGCAGTGAAATTTATGTTAGTTGATGAGGTAAACTAAGGTTAGGGTGTCATCTGCTGGGTCTTAATATGTCTGGGATAATGATGGAATTTGGAGAAGAGGAACTCGTTCTGAAACATGACAGTAACCAAGAGGTAAATAGGTGACAATAACAAGGAAATGTAGGGTTAGTGAAATAACTGTTTGAGAGAAGAGACTATAGGATCAGAGGACTGGATTTGAATCCTTCCTAGTTTGGTGACCTTGAGCAAATTACTTAATTTTATTGAGACCATTTTTCCCATCAGAATGTTGGATATAATGCTATGTGGGTCTGCCAAGAAGAATTGATGTGAGAATTAACGAGATGATGCTTGTAAAGCACTTGGTACGTTGTGGGACACATAAAGAGTTTGTAGGAGGCTGTGCTTCACTTCTGAAATTGTGAGAGCTTTATACATTAAATTGGACAGAACCAAAAGGATCAATGACAAATGGTGGTCTTGCTTAGGAAAAACGATTTGTTCTAACAATAGAGGAATAATATGATGATGTTGAAAAGGTTTAAGAAATGGTGTTAACTGTGGTGCTGGTGATGAGAGGAAAAGAAAGTCATTATTTGGGCAAGAGCTAGATGTAATAAAGTCCTGCATTTCTAGTGATATTTTGTGTAGCTGTTCTCTGATAGCTATCAAAAAAAAATCCTCATTATTAAATTTTTCTTCAGAAGCCCAAAACTCTAGCCTCATTTCTTTTTTTTTTAAGACTTGCCTTGATAATGGGAGGGACTTTTCTCCCTTTGTATTCTACCAGTGCTGACTGTTTTGTGACAAGTTGGAGCAGTGTTAGAAGCAGGGACGGTTAGGAGGAGGTCAGGTCTGGAATGACCATGGGAAATGAATGGTGACATTCACACTCCAAAGAGGCACACTCTGCCTCTTTGCCCAAGACAAAGACCCAGGGATAAATATGAGGTAGAAGCAGCTGATGAGAAATGGTTTTTCAGTGGAGTCAGAACTTAACTTAGTTCACATCAGGAGGTTGAGATGTAGTAGTACTCATATGATGAAATGGTGTATTTTACAGGATGCAAGATGCAAGTGGGATAGAAGTGCAACAGTGGGAAAATGTCTTTTCTACATTAAGCAAACACTTGTTTGAGGACTTATGTGCCTAACACATAAGAGTGAGTAAGATGCCTTTAACTATCTCCCAATTAATGGAGACCTGTAAACTATAAGTTTAGAGTAGAGATGGTGAATATTTGAACCTAAAGAAAGGAAGAAATAGATTAAGTCATTTGGAGAGAGTCAGGGGAAGAACAGCAGACCAGGGACAAGAATCTTCCTGAGCTCAGTGTTCCAGTTAGAATTACTTCCTTGGAGTACAGGCTCCAAGTATTTTTCTAATATGTCATAGGAACCAGGAAAACTGCTGCTTGTGTCATCTTAAAATATTTAATTACTGATTTGGGACTTGTGTTTCCTTAGGATTGTACACCATGGGCGATTTTGCCGAGGAAGATCTCTCTGAGGCAGATTATGCCTTGTTAGAAGCTTGCCCTTACGAGGACGACTGTGTCTTTGCTCCTGAATTTGTGACGGATGATTATGTTCGTGTGACTCAGCTTTACTGTGATGGAGTGGTGAGTAGGTTTGCTTGTGTCTTATGTACTCTCTGATTGAGGGAAGCCTGAGTAGAGATGTTTTTGTGGCACATGAGTTTTGACAGGAAGATACATATGCTTTTGAAGAGGTAACTTCAGAAGAAAGTAAATGCTGCACCAATGGTAAGAATATGGATGCCAGAGAATGAGTGATGGCAAGAAGTGGTTTTCTAACTGGGAATTAGAAAAGCTCCTAGAGGGCTGGGTGTGTTGCCACACAGCTGTAATCTCAGCTACCCTGGAGGCAGACATAGGAAGATCATGGTTCAAGGCTAGCCTGGAGACCCTATTTAAAAAACAAACTAAAACCAAAAGAACTGGGATGTGGCTCAAGTGATAGAGTGCTTACCTAGCAAGTGCAAGGTCCTGAATTCAATCCTTAGTACCACCAAAAACAAAAAAGAAAAGAAAAGCTCCTGGGGAGAGCTATAGGAACAAACTCAGGAAACACTATGAAAAAGGCCTTAATAAATTAAGTCTTACTGTTAACAATATGTTCAAAGTATGTACACATATGCCCTGAAAGTTTTTAGCTTAGTTTTGCTGTTCTTTAGAACAGTATAAAAGTACTGTACTTTTTTACTGTTAAAAGTATAAAAGAACTGTACTTTTGCATTTTACCAGACACAAATCAAAATACTTTTCTTTTTAGGGTATGCAGTATAAAGATTATGCCCAAAGTGAGAGAAATTTAGGTGAGTACTTTAATATTTCAATGTTAGTTTGTTGAAGGACCATAAAGGAAAAGTCCATTCATCCAGTCATATGAACATAACAGATTTATATGTCTTTTAAAAATATATCCTTATTTTTTTTTCACTATAAACGGAAATTTTTTTTTCCATTTTTCTTTTATTATTCATATGTGCATACAAGGATTGGTTCATTTCTCCCCACTGCCCCAACCCCCTCCCTTACCACCCACTCCGCCCCCTCCCTCTCCCCCCGCAATACCCAGCAGAAACTATTTTGCCCTTATTTCTAATTTTGTTGTAGAGAGAGTATAAGCAATAATAGGAAGGAACAAGAGTTTTTGCTGGTTGAGATAAGGATAGCTATTACGGCATTGACTCACATTGATTTCCTGTGCATGGGTGTTACCTTCTAGGTTAATTCTTTTTTGATCTAACCTTTTCTCTAGTACCTGTCCCCTTTTCTATTGGCCTCAGTTGCTTTGAGGTATCTGCTTTAGTTCTCTGACGTTTAAGGGCAACAAATGCTAGCTAGTTTTTAGTGTCTTACTATCCTCATCCCTCCTTGTGTTCGCTTTTATCTTGTGCGTATAGTCCAATCCCCTTGTTGTGTTTGGCCCTTGATCTAATGTCCACATATGAGGGAGAACATACATTTTGGTTTTTTGAGCCAGGCTAACCTCACTCAGAATGATGTTTCCAATTCCATCCATTTACCAGCGAATGAAACATTTCGTTTTCTTCATGCTGCATAAAATTCCATTGTGTATAGTACCACATTTTCTTAATCCATCGTCAGTGTGGGACATCTTGGCTGTTTCAAACTTGGCTATTGTGAATAGTGCCGCAATAAACTGGTGTGCAGGTGCCTCTGAGAACAGTCTTTTGGTATAGTCCAAGAGGTATTCTGGATCAAATGGTAGATCGATGTCCAGCTTTTTAAGTAGCTCCAAATTTTTTTCCAGAGTGGTTGTACCAGACTACATTCCCACCAACAGTGTAAGAGGGTTCCTTTTTCCCTGCATCCTCGCCAACACCTGTTGGTGGTGGTGTTGCTGATGATGGCTATTCTAGGAAATGTTTTTTTCAACACTTAAATATTCTTAGCATCTAATGGGTTAAAATATTTTATCTATTCTTTTCTTGCCTTTTCATATCCATTTTTATTTTTTCCCTACTAACTGTTGGTTCATTAAAAAATGAGGTACAAATAATAATTTTAAACTTTTTAATTTTAATTAAGAATATGACATCTGCAATATATGGTGTAGGAAACCAGTTTCTGTCCTGCAAGATTACTGTGATGCCATTAAAATATATATCTTCTGGCCACTTCTTTTCCAACATCAACACAGTTCTATAATATCAAGATTACATCCCTGTGTGGAGACCACGTAAGTTACTGTATATTACTTATTTTGTATGCAGTGATATGCCCAGTACTGTGGAATACTATGTTTGGTGGAAGGCTTATGCATAATTCTTGTATGCTGTTCAGTTTTGCTTTTGTTTAATAAGGTAGAAGAAGTAAATATTTGGGATTTGAATATGAGTGAATAATTACTATGAATGAGTTCTCAATAGTATTTGATGGTAGAGTTAAAGTTGAGTCAGGAGAAATTACTATAAATATCAGTGTTGTGCAGGAGAAAATGATACAGTATTTAGTCCATTTAATCAATAGCTTACTGTTCTCCAGAGTGAAGAATAACAGCACTTAAATTTTTTTCTCAGATAATTTTGTGTTATAAATGTTCTTCAGCATAAAGTTTAATGAATTTGTATATATGAGAAGCTAATTTAAAAAAAATAAATTTGTCTTTAAGCAGTTTTCCTGCTTCTGAGATAAGTTTGAAGAAGTTACAATATCTTGAATTGATGGAAGACATTGTGGATTTGGCAAAGAAAGTTGCAGTAAGTAGAATAATCAGGCTCCTGGCCACCTTCATTTAAAGAATATAAATATATGGTGTCAGGCTTGTCTTACCAGTTTTTAGTAGTTTTTGTTTACCAGAGATTACCCTGCTGTTTATGAGTGCTGTCAGTATTGAAGTGATCAGACAGATGGTTGATGGCATAGTTCCCGTGTGCCATAAATGGGATCAGGACTGCTTGTCATTAAAGGATAGAAATTAGAGTTTGTTGTAAATGAAAGTGGGCCCTATTCATGGAAACTTTTGTCATAGGTTCTGAAAGTGATGTGCTCTGTCCTTTGACATAGAAACACACTACCATCAACAAACACTTTTTGGGGGGAGTTAGAAGTTATCAGGCGAGACTTGAGAAAGGTGTCTTTATACTATATTGAGAATCTTTTGTGTGGTTCTTTTTGTAAACCATTTGATAATTTTTTTTATTTCAATTGGTTATGAAGCTAAGTGTCATTCTTAGTACTATTCTGTACTATGCAAACTTAAATTTAGAAAGGGTATTCTAGTACTTATTTCCTGAGGATAGTCTGTTTCAATAATATAGCAGCTAATGTATCTTTATAAAAAAAACTAGGTGTAATGAACCTTAAAAATCTACATATCTAAAAGTGATACTTCATCCTGAGACCCCTATGCAACACTGTTTTTGAATTCTGGCTTTAGGCCTTTTTTTTCCATACTGGGGCTTAAGCTCAGGGCCCTTGTGCTTGCTAGGCAGGTGCTCTACCACGTAAGCTACACCCCTAGTCCTCTTTGCTTTAGTTGGTTTTTTAGTAAGGATCTTGCTTTTTTGCCCGGGGTTGGCCTCAGACTGCAGTCCTCCTACCTGTGCCTTCTGTGTAGCTGGGATTACAAAATGTGCCACCACATTTAGCTTGTTTGTTGAGATGAAGTCTTGTTAGCTTTTTGCCTGGGCTGGCCTGGAACCTGATCCTCCCAATCTGTGCCTCCTGAGTATTACAGCCATGCACTGCCACACTTGCCAGCTTTAGGCACTTGCATAAGTGCTTGTGGCAAGTGTAGTACTATGTGCATGCTGTAGTATAGTCATGCATCACTTAGTGATAGGGAGACACTCTGAGGAATGTGTTATTAAGCAGTTTCATGGTGTGAACATAAACCTAAGAGGTACAGGTCAGCTACTCCCATGTGGCCTTTTGATGTAATCAAGGGACACAGTAGACACAAGTTGTATGAGACAGCTGCTAATGTAAACACAAAGTGTTTTATAGTAAACTGTATTTTAGTAAGTAGAAGCATAAACCAGTAACAAGGTTGTTTATTATCATTGTCAAGTATTATGTGTTAAATATAATTGTATCTGCCATACTGTTACATGACTGTCAGTACAGTAGGGTTTTTTCCCTTTGGTGGGAACTCAGGGCTTTGTGCCTCAGTGCAGTAATTTCACATCAGCATCAGCACAGATTTGTGAGCAATGAATGCATTGTGCTGTGATGTCACAACAGCTACAATGTTATTAGGCAATAAGAATTTTAGCTTTGTTACAATCCTATGGAACCACTATCCTGTTTATGGTTTATTGTCAACTGAAATGTACAATGCATGACTATATTCCTAAAATGTATGATTTTTTTCCCATTAGAAAATTCAAGTAAAATTTATGGAATATGGAAAAAATAATCTGCTTTTCGTTCTTTTTATACTTTTCAGAATGATCCATTCCTTATTGAAGGCTTATTGAGAATTGGCTATAAAATAGAAAATGTAAGTGTCAAATATGGGAACCCGGCATACTCACTGTGAATAAATGGCAGCCATCTCACTGCTCATTTGCCATTGAGTCTACAAACTCAGTATTTCATATGTAGTGTTTGGTAGTATTGGTATAGGTAATCTTATTTTGCCTCATTTTCATTTTTTTACCCATATATGTAGTTAACTTTGAGCCTCTTTTACAAATTTTTTACAAGTTGATTCTTTTTCTCTTCTGGAGTATTTACCTGGCCTGTATTCCCCAAGTAAAATTATTAGGTCTTTGATATGAATATTTTTTGATACATAATTACTAGGTAATCTTCAGATGCAGTAATAAACCAACTTGTAATGCTACTGGAGACATAAAGGCCTGCAGTTTCCTTCAAGTCTAATACCAACATTGACAACTCAGCTATTTAGCTTCTAAAGTTATTTCAGATACTAGAAGAATGAATATTTCCATAAATTTTTGACTTGCCATGAGAATCATTGCACTTACTGCGCATTTGTTCAGCAGTGGTCTATCTCGTTATTCTTCTGTTTGCCACAATGTTAAATATGTACTCTGTGTGGTAAACCTTCACTTATGCCTTAACCTTGGAGTAGAGATGGAATCTCTTGTTCAGATAAGAGCTGAGAATCCTCCTCCACCTTGTATTATTGCACTCTCCTGCTATGTAGGGAATGCCCTAGTCAGGTTGTAAACCTCACCTTCCAGGTCTGTAATCATTTCAGACACATCTTGAGCTCTGAGGGTGCCCTGAGGTCACTTGAGAATGTTAACAGGTGTGCATCCATGATTTCTGTTAACTTGGGTATAGGAGTCCAACTGTTCTCTGTTGCATGATAGTGTAATGAAAATACTGAGTTGTACAGGTTTTGTTAAGTGTCTGAAATGCTGTATAAGGTAAATTCACAATGCTACATACAAGTTTAGAAGTAATACCCACATCCCACTCTTCACTCCTCTTTTTCAAACAGAAAATCTTGGCAATGGAAGAAGCTTTAAATTGGGTAAAATACACAGGCGATGTAACAATTCTACCTAAATTAGGATCAGTTGACAATTGTTGGCCTATGTTAAGCATTTTCTTTACTGAATGTAAGTATATGTACTTTAAATTGTTTACTTTTTAAAGGTATCTGGGAAAATGGAATGTGTGTAGTTAAGTGGTTTCTGATTTATCTTAGGAATGCTTAAAAAATGTTTTTCAAATACTGTTATAATGCCTCTGTAAGAGAACTTTAACCTTGCAGTTATAGTCTCTATTTCCTGTCTTACTCATTTTTGTGACATTGTATTTTTGAAAATTCTACCTAACAGATGCCATAAATTATTACATATAATATTCAAAGAAAGAGTCCATGGTGGGGGCCCATGTGTCACCATTCATAAGAGAAAGTAACAGAAGCAAAGATGATTTTCATTTCCTAATGAACCTACTATTCTTGTATGTTTATGAGGAAACTACCTTACGTATTTCTTTTACTTCCTGAAATCTTTTCTTTAAAGCATTCAGATGTTAGTGTTTTTCTCATATGATTATAGGAATCTTGAAATAGAAAATGCTTGACCTTTTAGTAGATAATGACTGATGATTTGCCATCTACTAAGAGGGCAAATTCTGTCTATTGACTTGCATTCTAGAGAGGAATTAAACTTAATAAAGACCCCTTTCTGATGGTTTACTAAATAGTTGGATGTATTATAGAGGTTTTCTTCATTGTTTTAGAGGCCTCTAATTGTAGGCTAGATTTCATGGTGGAAAGGAGAAGCAATGTCATATATTGAGCACTAATGTAGACTCATTGCTGATTCTCCCTCATGTGTTTTCTCTATACTTGTCCTGAAGGGTGGTCATTATTGACTGTTGTAGAGGGAGCAAATGGAGACTGAGAGGTTAAGTGATTTTTCTGCAGCATAGTAAGTGGTAGAACCTAGGTAAGAAGGGAGGTCTCTGATTTCAGAGCTCACGCTTTCTTCCTGTAACCTTGCTCTGTCCCTTTGTATTAACTTTTTTGGTGACCTTTCCGATCCTTTCTTCCTTTTGAGGTACTGGGGATTGAAGACAAAGCTTTGTGCTTGCTAGGCAAGTGCTCTACTACTTGAGCCAGTGCCCCAGTCCTTTTGCTTTTAGTTTGTTTTTTCAGATTGGGTCTTGCATTAACACTGCTAGGGCTGACTCCTCCTAGATGTGCCTCCAGAGTAGCTAGGATTACAGGTGTGTATCACTACACCTGACTTGTTTTTTTGGTTGTTTGTTTTTGTTTAATTTTGTTTCGCACTACTGGAGTTTGAACTCTGGGCTTCATGCTTCCTCGGCAGGTGCTGTACCACTTGAGCCATGCATGACTCCAGCCTGTTTTTCCTCTGGTTATTTTTTGAGCTAAGATATCGCCTTTTGCCCAGGCTGCCCTGAATTGTGATGCTTCCCACCATCACTGAGTTGATAGGCACGTGCCACCATGCCCAGCTTCTGCCCCCGCACCCCCAGTTGAGATTGGGGTCTCACAAACTTTTTTTTTTATGCACATATGAATAATAAAATAATAATAAAATCACAAACTTTTTTTTGTCCAGGCTGATCTTGAGCCACAATCATCCTGAGCTCAGCCGCCCAAGTAGTTAGGACTATAGGCATGAGCCACTGGTGCCCAACCAACTCTGGCTTGTTTTTGAGAGAAGGTCTCCCTAACATTTGCCTGGATTATACTTGAGCCATAATTCTTCTGTCCTGTTCCAGATATTTTCTTGAATCTTAAAGTTTAGGTGTTATTTTCCCTTGGAAATTAATGTTTGGCTAAAGACTTAATTATAATTTTGTTGAAATAATTTTTTTACTGTATTTTAATAAATCCTTTTTATAAAACAGCTTAAAGGTAGAAAATGAGGCTTGATAACCTTTGACACAAAGTTTGGTTATCTACTGCATTTTAATTGTCTTATTAAAATTTTTTATGAATAGTTATTTCAATTAACTTCTCATTAATTTCATTTGTGAAGAATCAGATATTAAAGACTTAACTACTTCATTTGTAATATTAAATACATTTTAGAAAACAGTTTCCGGTTTCTTTTTTATACATTTTTATTGAATATTGTGCCTGATAAATATTGATAATATTTGCTGAATTGGCTTGAGTGAGTATGAGACCTGGTGGAGTATGTTATGACAGAGCATTTACTGTAACTGTAGCAACAATGAATGGAACAATGAACGAGTGCTTCTTTATTGCTAGAAATAGAAACATTAAACTCAGAGCAAGCAAAAAGTTGTTTTCTGTAACATTTTACCAGCTGCTTATTTTTAAAATACAGAATTTGACATGCACGAAAGATTACAGGAGACACAGGCTGTTTAGAAAGCGTAATAATGTGGTGAGCTCTGTGGACTCATCTACTTAACCTGAGAATTAGAATATTACCAATACGAGTTTATTTTTGTTAACAAATACTTTCTCTCACTCTCTCCTAAACATAAAATTTAGACAAGTATCACATAACTAAAGTTGTAACGGAAAACTGCAATTTACTTGAAGAATTTAGAAATCAAAATTGTGCCGAGTGTATGGAGGTGAGGATAAATCTTTGCTTGTTAAAACTCTTAACTGCCACAGTAAGTTAATAATAAAACTTCTGAGAACAATATATGGAACTATTGTAAATGAATAATGTGTTTGAGGGAAAATTTGAATACATTTTTATTTGATTTTTTTTTTTTAAGGAAGAAATAATATCTTAATCAGAATTTTCTGGGGTTTTTTTGGTCGGACTGGGGTTTGAACTCAGGTCTCTCACTTGCTAGTTAGGCACTCGTAACACTTGAGCCACTCCAGCAGCCCTCTTAATCAGAATTTTATAATGATTTTAAGAATTAATTGAAAAGTAAAGTTTGATTGTTTTCAATTAAAGGCTTTTGTTTTTGAGGCTTTTTAATTAGCTGAGGAAATACAATTTTCTTTGGTAACAACTTTATTTATTTATTTATTGGTGGTAACCCACAGGCCCTTGTACTTGCAAGGCAAGCATGCTACCACTTGAGCCACTCCCTCAGCTGTTTTTGCTATAGGCTAGCAGTTTTTTAGATAAAGTCTTCCTTTTGGCCAGGGCAGCCTGTGGCCATAATCCTTCTACCTATGTGTCTCCTGAGTAATTGGATTGCAGACATGCACCACCATACCTTCCTTGTTTGTTGAGATGGGGGGTCTTGCTAGTCTGGAACTGCGATCCTCCTGCTCTCCACCTCCTGAATAGTTGGAGAACCTCAGCATCTGGCTGATAGTATCTCTCGTAATTCATATGTCATTAAGATTCACTTAGAGGAAATAATGATTTTAACTCAATTTTTAAAAATTAGGAGAATATTTAATCTACTGAATTGTCTAAAGTCATTGATATGATGCAGTTTCTTTTTGTTAACTAATTATAAAATTGAAGTGAAAAGTTTTGGTTGTATGTATAGCATCTTTCATAAATACACTTTTTTTTTTTTTGGTGGTGGTGGTGTTGGGGTTTGAATTCAGGGCTTCACGTTGTGAGGTGCTTTACTACTTGAGCCATGCCTCCAGCCCTTTTTGCTCAGGTTTTTTTGGAAATAGGTTCTTGCTTTTTTATCCAGGCTTACCTGGAGCACAATACTATTTTACACTTCCTGCCATTGTGCGATGAGAGGTGCATGCTACCATGGCAAGTGTGTGCCACCATGCCCAGCATTTTTGCTGTTGTAATGGGGGGCTTTCAAACTTTTTTTGCCTAGGCTGGCCTAGAACTTTGATCCTCCCACATAACTGGAATGATAGATGTAGGTCACTGTGCCCACCTGTTGTTGACATGAGGTCTCTTGATTTTGTCCAGGCTGGCCTTGAACCTCTGTGCTCCCTATCTCAGCCTTCCAAGTAACTGTAGGCATGAGCTACTGGCACCCTGCTCATATATACTCTTGCTAACCTTCCACATCATTTTTTTTTTCAATTAACCTAATCAACATTGCCTATATGTTCCTTATTTATATCTATCCTTTCATATTTTTTGTTTTGTTTGCTTGTGGTTGTGGGAATCAAACATAGGACTTTGGTGCATGCTAGGCAAGTGCCCTCCCACTGAGCTACATCTCCAGCTAACTCATTTGTTTTTTAAATACTAAAGTTTACTGAGTAATATCAAGTTTGCTATCTTAATGTTAAAATTCTGCCTTTCATCTCATGTTTGGCCTGTCATACCTTATGCATAAGATATATATAAAAGTAAGTCTGCCAAATACTGCCACAGAAGAAAAACTGTTTTAGTAACTATTCATAATGTGTTGGTTTTGTTTATTTTTAATATTCCTTTAACAAGTTAGCATTGACTATTAGAGAAAAGTTTCTTTAAGTATATAGCCATCCTTCAGTGTCAGGGGGATTGGTTGCATTTCTCCCTCTGATACCAAAATCCAGAGATGCTCAGGTTCCTTACGTAAAATAACAAATGTATGCTCCTGTGTACGACAGTCATTTTTAGGTTATTTGTAGTATGTACCTAACACAATGTGAATGCTATATAAGTAGTTGTTATAATGTATTTGTTTAGGGGTAATGACAAGAAAAAAAAAACTGTACATGTTCAATACATATACCTTCTTTTCCCCCCAATCATTTTGATCTGTGCTTGGTTGAATCTGCAAATGCAGAACCCATAGGTACAGAGGGCCAACTGTATATACCAAAATGCTGGAGATTATGTTCTTACTTCTCACATTAAATAATCACCTAGGTAATTTCTGATATCAAAGATAGGAACCCAGATCCATTTTTTTCTAGGTATTGGGTTCTTGTTTGTCTTTGGAGCTAATTGATGGGTCTTCTTTCACCTTGGTTTCTCAGCAAGGAGAACTAATGAAAATGAGAGGAAATGAAGAGTTTTCCAAACAAAGATTTGATGTAGCTATTATTTATTACACCAGAGCCATTGAATATAGGTAAGAGCAAAAGAGAACGGTGAGACCCTCTTCATGTGGCAGATAAGTTAGAATGCTGGGAGAAGTGAAGACAAGATGAGCAAATGCAGAATATCTTCCTGTTTGCTGTGTAGAACAGATTTTCTCATCGTTAGGTGGTAGCAGCATTGGAGGTAGCTTTAGTAGGTGAAATCAAGTAGTATAATTCAAGTCAGACAAAAAAATGAATTGGGTTCTGTCCTGCTGCAGTTATTTTTTAGGCTTTTCAGAACAGTCATCTATTCTGTTTTGTTCTCATTTTGTTGTGAGATAATTCCTTCCAAATTATTAATTGATCAAAAGGGGTCAGTTTTTCACATTTAGGATGCCCACAGTTCTTGAGGGGAACTTTTAGACGAAAATAGTTATAATTGTTGAGAGAGTGCATATGAGCTCTCCACTTGGTCTCCTTGTTAGTTGGCTACTAGAATTTTATAGCCTTTATCCAGTATGCGTCACTCTGTTTTTTCTGACCATCTTAGCTGGACCACCTAATATTGTGGTAGCCTTTGTAGGGATGCTATCTAGACACTACTTCTGTCTTGCTCATCTCCACTGGAAATGAGTGAATCAAATTAATGCCACACCTGAAGACTCTTGCTCTATTTTGCTGAGGAAAAGATAGAGGGAAAAGAGCATCAGTTCTGATCACATACAGTCAGGCAAAAGTAAAAAGAACAAATTTTGAAATGAAACTGCTAAGGTTACTGTTGCAGTTTACAGACTTCCTTTGAGTTCTTTGTCAAGGTGGCACAGTCCTGATTTATCTGAGTAGTTCTGACCCTTTGCAGTTGCAGCATACTTTATTTAGTTGGCTAACTTTAAATAATGCCTCTGTACTCCTCACAATAGCCCAGTGAACTAGACAGAGGAAGAATTACCCTCATTTTGAATCAGGGTAGTTTTAGTTGGAACGGGGTTACTGAGGAAATAAAAAGGAACTGAAACTTAGCTAAGGCTCAGAATTCTATATTCATCCTGCTTTGCCACATAGATGTAAAGTTTTTTAAAAAAATTTTCATGCCTTATATTTTCAGTGTGATTTTTGCTTAAAATGAGCAAAAGTAGTCTGTTTTACTGACCAAACATTACTTCCTTTTAAGACCTGAAAACCACCTTCTTTATGGTAACCGAGCTCTTTGTTTTCTTCGTACTGGACAGTTCAGGTAAGTTGGCTAAAGTGCCCCAATCACTGACTTATATTAAATACCCATTTTTGGGAAACATTTTTGTGTTGCAGGTCTGCAAGAAAATCCTTCAAAAGACAGTTCTTTGTCATGGTTGAATGGTTAAAAGAGCACTACAGGCTTTATAGATAATAGCCGTGGCAGCAGTGGCTGCTTGTGTGTGAGCGTGTTGTGCATTGTTTTAGAGACTTCGCACATGATTTAAATCTCACAGCATTGTTAATGGGGAGCTGTGTTGTTCTCCAGGCCTTAGCTGTGGACCAGCTCATACCACTAGTGGGCAGTGCTGCCAAGATTTAAACACAGATCCTATCTGATGATGCCAGAGTATGTGTTTATAATATCGTATGTCCTTTTGCTCTGTTAAATGTGTAGAGTTTGGGAAGAAGCATTTTTCCCATACCATTCTCTCTTTTGGTCTTTGTAGGAAAAATTAATTAAATATCTCCTATAGGTGAAATAAAGCACAGAAATAACAATGGTACTACTCTGAGAGTGGAATCATAATTAATACTTAGTTCTTTATGTTGAATTTGAATTTATCAGTTGAGAAAGATTGAGAAAATACTATCATGATTTTATTGCCCTTCAGGTTTTGTTTTTATTTACTTATTCTTTTTGTGGTGCTGGGAATTGAACCCATGGCCCTCATGAATGCTAGGCAAGTGCTCTACAACTTGAGTCACACCCCCAGCTCAAACTTTTTTTTTTTTTTTTCCCGGCAGTACTGGGGTACTCTGCCATGCCCGTAGGTTCAGTTTAAAACTTTTAGGACATAAATTAAAAGTATTAATATCAAGTAGTGTAGATTATTGTATTTAGTTACATCCTGCCTTATTATAAGAAGGATACAAGGTGGATCCAATATTACATCCACACAGTAGAAGAATATTCAAAACACCCAAATTAGAAAACCAAGTTAGAGCCTAGGATCCTGAGAACAAAGCTCCATAGGTCTGAGGGCCTGCATAGGAGTTAGTTACAATTCATATTTGCCTCTGACCTTCTGTTACCCAAAATGAAAAAGGAAAACTTGACAAGTTTCATAATTCTCATTGTTCACAGAGAAGCAAGGTACCAGTTGCTTGAGCAGAAGATTTTCTTTATTTATTTTCATTAGCACATATTAATAGTACAATGTGAGGGCTGTCAGTGTGGTATTTCCACACATGCATATAATATACTTTGATCACAGTCTCCTCCCTCGATTATTCTTTATCTCCCTCCCCCCCTTTTAAAGAAATCTTTCTTACAATTTTTTAAATGGGTTTCTTTATGACCTTTCATACATGCTCACTTTCTTATATAGCTCACTGGTAATGTTAATTGAGTGATGAGTTATAGTTAAAAATCCTAGCAGCATTACTATTCATAGGAAGAAATTCTTTGAAAATGCTGTGTTGGGTTTCACAAACAAGTTTTTTGTTGTTGTTGTTTTTGTTTTTTTGTGAAAGTCTTGAAAGCTGAGAGCCTGATAATCAGTTGTTTTTCAGTAAAAGCACTTAATGTTGGGATATGGGAGGGTGGGAGTGGGGAAGATAGTATATTCCAAGTATGTAGCTTTTAAAAATAACATTTATTATGTTTTTCTTTTATTATAAACAGAACACATTCTCATGGTAGAAAATTTGGAAAATACAAGAGTTTAAAAAGAAGAAAATAAAAATCACCAGTAATCCAACCACCTTGGAGAATACCGCTGTATTAACGTTATGCAGCTTTTAGATGGCTTAAGCCGTGGATAATCCGAGGCTATCTAGACTAGAGGAATGGATGGGCTTGACACAGTCTTCCATCAATACCACTGTTCTCAACTGGTTCTGACAAGAAATGAGCCGCAAATGTCTAGGTTATTGTCTCTGGCTAGGTCCAGAATTGCAGATAATCTATGCTGTTTAAAGGTGAATCTGTATGCTTTCAAGATCAGATGCATAGGTTTACAACTTGGCTAGCCTCTTGTGAAAAATTGAGGTGCCTATCTGAAACCTTGCTGGGCAGAAGGTCATCCACTTTCCAGCTCTGGGAGCTGAGAGGCCAACCAGGGTGATTCTGTTTTCATGAGCATTGAATGCTAGACACAAGGAGCATCCTCCTAAAATCCTTCTACAACAGGAGGTGAATGAAAGTAGAAACACAAAAGCCAGGTAGCTTGGTGAGGTAAAAGCTCAAGAGCAGGATAGTGGATCTATCCTTGTACTCCCTTCCTGACAGTCTAGCTTGTGATCACACACCACATATGTTCGCCTTATAGGCAGGTCACATTCCTTATTAGGCAATCTCCAGTATGTATTGGGTATCTATTTAGTATCTGAAGCTATGCTACACTGGTTTTGTTGGTATTTCCTACCCTTCCACACATTGTTTTATGTTATTTATTATTAACATAGGAATAATGTTTCAAGAGTTCGTAACTCCAAGAATATTGCTAGTAATTGAGATATGCCACTGACAAAAGAGGACCCAATTCCTGAGAAGGGCTTTTAGCTGATTACCAAGGCTGAGATGTTTTGAAGCCCTCGCATTGGGAAAATGCTAAATCTGCCACAGGAATCTGGCTGAGCAGCTGCAGAGGCAGCTGTGGCAAAGCATCTACCTTCCCCAGTTCAGGCAAGGTTGCATTCCTTAATTGCTCCACATGGCCAGACTTCCTGTTGTAAAAACAAAGATTGAGCTGTAAGAGAACTGAGATGGAATGTTTCAGATTAATACTAGAAAAAGAGGGATAAAAGGGTTAAAGTCTTGAATGCTAAAACTTATGAAATAATTTAATATTAAAAGATTAGAGAATATAGATCAAAACATTAAAATATATTAAATTTAAAAAATAACTTTGGAAAGATTACTTTCTAAAAGAGTAAAAAATAATAATTCTGTATTTTACAACATGGCTGGTGCTGTTCTGAGTATTTCATATGTGCTTACTTGTGGCACCTTTACAACTGTGAGGTGGGTGCCATTGTCTCTTTACAGAAGAGAGCCGAGATAGGGATGCCACACAGGGTCCAAGGACACTGGGTAGATGATGTGAAGCCAGTCAGCCTGACGCAGTCTCTACTATAATTGTTATGGAAAGGTGACAGTAGAATAGAAGGGGAGTATAAAAGCTGAAAATTAAAACATAAATGATCCAAATAGTCAAACATTTATGAGGACATGATTATCCTTACATGACATGCAGATTAAAAACTACAGGTTTCTCTTTCATATCCATCAGATTGGCAAAAACTTAAAAACTTCGTTATACCAAGTGTTTGAGAGGATGTGGAACAAAGGAAACTTTCATACTCGGCTGGAGAAAGTGTAAATTGGTACAGTCACTTTGGAGAGCAATCTGACAAGGTGAAGATGTGCATATTCTGCAGCCCATTTCTAGGGTCATCCCTTCCAAACTCAAATGTGTACCCGAAGACATGTGCAAGCCTGCATATAGCACTGTAAGAGTAAAGTGGAAGCAACCTAAATGTCCATCAGTAGGGGAATGGATAAATAAATTATGGTATATTCATACAATGGAATTCTAAGCTGCAGTTACCATGAATGCGATGTGGAGTGAAAAAAGCAAGTTGCACAATTATTTGTACAGCATGGTGCCATTTATATAATGTTTAAAAACATACAAAAACAATGTGCATATCCATAATTAATACCAAGTATGTGTTTAAACTGTTTTAAAAATGCATGGGCATGTTAAACACCAGGGAAGTGGCTGTCTCTGCGGAGAGAAGGAGGGAAAAGGGTTTGGATGGAAGTGGCGATGCACAGTGGATGTCAACTGTAACAAACCTCTGCAAAAAGAGCCGAAGTAAATATGGCAAAATGTTAATTTCTTGCTAAGTTGGTGCACAGCTGGTACATGAGTGTTCATTTTGTTAATGCTGTTCTCTGTACTTTTATGTATACTTGAAATATTTGAGAAAAAGTAAAGCAAAATGTAATTTAAAATGCATAAAACCCAGAACAGTGATCACTAAACATCAGTGTTACAATAAGTAAAAAATGACCTTGAAAGGAGAGAAATACCAGCATTTTAAGGACAGTTACGGGGAAGAGAGCCTGTGGTGAATGAAGTATGAGTTGAGAAACAAATGCTTTATTCAGAAATGGTCAATGTAACTGTGGTGGTTTTTTAAATCTTAAATAGTCAACACAGTTTATAAATTAGAGATCACCTTTGAGTGGATATAGGTGAGGCCAAGAGCCAGTCAAAACCCCTGTAGTCTGTGGCTATTGCACTTGGGAAATCGGGAGGTGGGGTTGGAGGGAGGGAGGGACTGTGCTGCCTCCTGCCCCCCCATCCTGCCACATTTCTCCCCTGGAATTCTTTAGGCTTAGGAATGTGTGCATGGAATCCCAGGACTCCTGGCTTGGTGGGGTTCTGGTCTCTACAGGTGCACTTTTCACATACAGTTTGGTAACTGGAGGACCTTATTAGAGTGATAGTTGTAATGGAAGTAGCCAGAAGTTTTCAGTTTGGGAGAATCCGGGAAGAGGAATTAGGCATATCTATAACTAAGGGAGTTAGAACACTTGTGTGATGTGTATGAGTAGACTTTGCCCACTACTATTTAATTCATTCTTGTGAGACTCTCACGTGGAAAATTATAATTCTTCTGGAAATGTAATGAACAGTGTAAAGGGAAAATACAACTGGAGAAAGGGAAAACTTAGCTTTGAGTTTTTTAAATTGGAAAATCATGGAATTTTAAAAAATTGGTATTTACTTCACCTTTTGGTATTTATTTACTTACCCTTCATGCCATACTCCCTTCCATCAGAGTCCCATCTGTGATCAGCAGCAGACATACAGACTAAAATGACTCCTGTTTTGAGTTAATTTCTCAATTTCTGAGATGAGAGATATAGTAACTCAATATTGTATATTTCTGCAAGAATTTAAAAAAAAAATCTTGCCTGTGTGCAGTTCTAGTGTGAGTGTGTGGGTTTGGTGAATGGTTCCTTACTCTGCTCTTACTTGCATG